GATGCAAATTCAACCGAATTCGAACTCTGGAATCAGTGCAACAGTATGATAATATCTTGGTTAACTCATTCTGTTGAAGCAGATATCGCTAAAAGCATTATTCACGCCAAGACAACTGATCAAATGTGGGTTGATCTTCGCGATCAATTCTCACAAAAGAATGCTCCAGCAATTTTTCAAATACAAAACTCGATAGCAATGATGTCACAAGAAACCATGGCACTGTCAACATATTTCACCAAGCTCAAAGCACTCTGGGATGAACTGGAAGCGTACCGCACACTATTTACGTGTAATCAACGTCAAATACATATTGATCAACGTGAAAAAGACAAGTTGATGCAATTGCTCATGGGGCTCAATGAGTCTTATAAAACGGTGAGATCTAACATATTGATGATGTCTCCATTACCTAATGTGAGGCAAGCTTATTCATTACTTGTACAAGAAGAGATGCAGCGACAGGTAACCTCTGAACCTACTGAGAATTTCTCGATTGCATCAGCAGTGCAGAAGAAAACAACATATTCAAAATTCGCCAAGGACAAATCGTGTGAACACTGCAATAAAAGTGGTCATACAATCAATGAGTGTCGAATTCTTAAATTTCATTGTAAGTTTTGTGATAGAAGGGGACATACAGAAGATCGGTGTCGACAGAAAAATAATTCTACAAGGACAAGACAAGTCAATCAACACAATCATCGTGGATACCGATCATCTGCAAATATGGCCGATGTTTCACAGTTGTATACAGAAGAGCAGTCACCTAATTTCATTCCAAATTTTTATTCTGAGAAATTACGACAGATAGCACAAGCCTTATCTGCAATCAATCAAAACCCTTCTGGTAATTCTAACAATCACATCAATGTTGCAGGTTTGTTTCCCATATCTACATTATCTGTTAACTCTGCGAGTTCTAATTCATGGATTCTCGATAGTGGAGCTACGGATCATATAGTATCAAAATCTTCTGTTATGACTGATCCAAAGGCTGCCATCATGTCTACAATAAATTTGCCTAATGGAGAGACAGCACGTGTGTCACATACTGGCAATATTTTCCTTAGCCCTAACCTTAAGTTAAACAACGTTTTATGTGTGCCTTCATTCAATTTAAACCTAATGTCGATCAGCAAACTTACCAATAACTTGAAATGTTATGTCACCTTCTATCCTGATTCTTGTGTTATGCAGGACTTGGCTACGGGGAAGATGATTGGCTCGGGTAAACAATTTGGAGGTCTCTATCATATTTCTTCATCTCCAATCAAATCTTCAGCTCATCAAGTATCTCAGTCATCTGATTTGTGGCATTTATGTCTAGGTCATCCTTCTTTTTCTCGTTTTAAATTTCTAGCTGATCAATTGCATCTTAATAATGCGAGTTATTCTCATAATTGTAGTATCTGCCCGTTAGCAAAACAAACTAGGTTGTCTTTCCCAAGAAGTTCAATAACAACCCATTCTGCCTTTGATCTAATACATTGTTATGTTTGGGAACCAAATAAAATTCCTACCCATTCTGGTTTGCGTTTTTTTCTCACTATTGTTGATGATTTTACTCGATGTACTTGAGTTTTTCTAATGCAACATAAGTGAGAAGTACATCATTTGTTAATTAACTTTGTTAAATTTGTTCAAACTCAATTTCATACTACTATCAAGATAGTTCAATCAGACAATGGGACTGAGTTCCTATCTTTGCAACCATTCTTTACTTCTTGTGGTATTGAATTTCAGCGCACTTGTGTCTATACTCAACAACAAAATGGAGTCGTAGAACGTAAGCATCGCCATATCCTAAATGTAGCTAGGTCTCTTCTTTTTCAGTCACAGGTTCCACTTAATTTTTGGGGAGAGTGCATTTTAACGGCTGTTTATCTTATAAATAGAACGCCATCACCAGTGTTATCTAACAAGACACCCTTTGAAGCACTCTACAAACGATCACCTACATTTCATCATCTGAAAGTTTTTGGTTGTAAATGTTATGCAACTATGTACATCCTAAGCAAAAATTTGAACCTCGGGAAATTCCTTGTGTTTTCGTAGGATATCCTTGTGGTCATAAAGGTTACAAATTGTATGACATGCAATCTCACAAATTCTTTATCAGCCGTGATGTTAAATTTTGTGAAGATGATTTTCCTTTTTCATCAGCTTCACAAACTTCGACATTAGCTCCTTCAACTCCTGTTGTTCCACTTCATGATCCATCCTACTTAAGCATCCATCCTCCACCTTCCATTCCTCTTTCACCTCCTATTCCTTCACCTACTACTTCGTCGTCTCCTCCACCTTCTCCAGATTTGCCCACTGATTCCAATCCTATCCCGCCTGATACATCAGCTCCACTCCGACGTTCTACTCGCACTAAACAGCCTCCAGCTTGGCATAAGGATTATGAGATGTCTTCTGAAGCCAATCATTTAACCTCTAGCTTAAGTCCCGACACTGGCACCAGGTATCCCCTTCATCATTACCTTTCATTCTCTCGTTTTTCTCCTACTCAACGTGCTTTTCTAGCTCTTATTACATCCCAAACAGAACCTAAAACCTATGACGAGGCAGTTGGCGACCCTGTATGGTAGCAGGCTATGAAAGATGAAATTGCAGCTTTGAAACGTAATCATACATGGTCTCTCGTTCCTCTACCACCTGGTCATAAAGCTATTGGTTGTAGCTGGGTGTACAAAATTAAATACAACTCTGATGGTTCTGTTGAACGTCATAAAGCTCATCTTGTAGCAAAGGGATACACTCAGGTAGAAGGTATTGATTACACAGAAACATTTTCCCCTACAGCGAAACTTACTACACTTCGTTGCTTACTCACTATTGCTGCTGCTCGAAAATGGTTCACCCATTAGTTGGATGTTCAAAATGCCTTTCTCCATGGTAATCTAGACGAGGAAGTTTATATGTCTTTACCACCAGGTCTTCGCCGACAGGGGGAGAATACAGTATGTCGGCTCCATAAATTTCTTTATGGATTAAAACAGGCTTCTCGCAAATGGTTCTCCATATTTTCTACAACTATACAAAATGCAGGCTACACTCAGTCCAAAGCAGACTAGTCTTTGTTTACCAAGAGTAAAGGTACTTCTTTCAATCTATGTTGATGATATTCTGTTGACAGGCAATGATCTCAAAGAAATGCAATATCTCAAGACTAGTTTACTCCAGAAATTTCTTATCAAAGATTTAGGAAATTTGAAATATTTTCTAGGCATTGAATTTTCTCGGTCTAGAAAAAGAATTTTTATGTCTCAAAGGAAGTATGCTCTAGACATCCTTCAAGACACAGGCCTTACACGAGCACGTCCAGACAAATTTCCTATGGAGCAAAATTTGAAACTTTCTTTAACTGAAGGAGAGAAATTGAATGATCCAAGTAAATACAGACGGTTGATTGGCAGATTAATATATTTGACTGTCACTAGGCCTGACATAGCTTATTCAATTCGTATGCTTAGCCAATTTATGCATGAACCAAGAAAACCACATTGGGAGGCAGCTCTTCGAGTTCTGAGGTACATCAAAGGCACTCCTGGTCAAGGACTCCTACTGCCATCTGAAAACAATTAAAGATTACAAGCATATTGCGACTCTGACTGGGGTGGTTGTCGAACTTCCAAACGGTCTATTTCTGGGTTCTGCATTTTCCTTGGAAATTCAATTATTTCTTGGAAGTCTAAAAAGCAGACTAATGTGTCCAGATCATCAGCAGAAGCCGAGTATCGAGCTATGGCAAATACTTGTTTAGAGTTAACTTGGTTAAGATACATTATTCAAGACTTGAATGTTCCACTGTCCGAACCAGCATTATTATATTGTGATAATCAAGCAGCAATACATATAGCAGCCAATCAAGTTTTTCACGAACGTACGAAACACATTGAAATAGATTGAAGACATCAACTTGAGGGGGAGTATTAAGAGGATATTTTGGAGATATATTAGTTAGAATATATGTGAGGATATTTGGAGATATATTAGTTAGAATATATGTGAGATATTTAGGGAGTTCTTAGTATAAATTTGATTTTCTTAGTTGGTTATATATTTTTTTTATATTTTTTTTTCTATTTTTAGGTATTAGTTGTTGAGGGGAGTATTAAGAGGATATTTTGGAGATATATTAGTTAGAATATATGTGAGATATTTAGGGAGTTCTTAGTATAAATTTGATTAATCGTGTATTTTATATATTTACAAGATTTAGTTGGTTATATATTTTTTTTTCTATTTTTAGGTATTAGTTGATAGTTTGTATCTATTTAAACGTGGTAAACGTGAATGAAGATCATACACTTTTCCAATTATATTTTCTATTTCTATTTCTTAACATATTTCTTATTATATCGCGGTTAGCACAATTTTAAATCACGTCTACTAGAGATATGTTTAAAGACTCTTATAAGTTGTACTTCATTCCCCTCTCCAACCAATGCGGGATCGAGGGTGTGCGTTCAGATCCCACTTCTGACAACTCAAATAAAGGTAAAATAAAAATACATTAGCTTATCATTATTGAAATCAATTGAACACATTAGAGATTTAAAATGGCCCCGACATGGTTTTCCAAGCTTCTACAAAAGTTAGTATTGTTCAAGTTTACTCTTACGCTCGAATCTCAAGGACACTCTGATTTTTTGTACTACCTAAGTGCATAGCAAATGATGAGTTGTGAGCCTTTGTCAATATCTCGTTCCTTAATTCCCCCACCATTGGAATACATAACCTCCTTAATTCCTTCATTACTGGAATACATTGGCGTCCTTGACATAACTGTCCTTCATCTTAGGATTTAGAGAAACTGTCCACTAGGTCCTCACTGACTCATAATGACCTATATTAAAAAAAATCAGATTCGAAAAGGTAAAAAATGTAAAGGTTGGTGTTAAAAATGTCAAATCGAGCCAAATATATCGTTTTTTAGCCTAGAATTATGAGAAGCTGAGCCGAAAGGGCTGGTGTATGCAGTAGTGACCTTGTTGTTGAGGGATATTCACACATGAGCAGGTCACGAAGTGGGTCGAGGCACAAGTCTTGAATGTTCATGTGGGCACACAGGTTTGTGTAGTGGATAATTGGTTGGGTCGTGTTCTGCGTATTTTTTGGTTTGAATGTGGGTTTTTGGGCCAAGCACAAAGGAACCAGACTATTGGACTAGTTGCTAGTGAGTATCTGATTGCATTGTTGGGCTGAAGCTTTGTATTTTATGTTACTAGATCAAACTAGGTATGGGGTTGCTTGGCTATAATGAGGTTGCAGGTATTCGAGTTTGGGTCCGACTAGGTGGACTTCATCTTATCGACACCTCACCTCGATTAGGGTTTCCTGTGGGTTTTGGGTTGTGAGTTGGATCTCGGGTCGGACTTCGTCTCCCTCACCCCGATTACTAGAGAATTTTTCGGTGACTCTCTCTCTCTCCTCAGTCACGTCATTTCGACGTCCTTTTTCCTCCTCTTTCCTCCATTTTTGAGTCTCCTTCTCCCCCTAATCCCGTTTATGGTGATTGTTTGGTTCGTAAGGGCCTAAACTCTCAAATCTTAGAGGGTTCGAAAATCCAACGTTCTGACTTCCTTACCCAATCTCGAGCCTAAAATTTTATTCGACTTTGCTCCACGACTTCTGTTTGGCGCTTTCGACTAAGGATACCAGTTTTTAACCCTGTTTGAGATGAGTACGATCATTGTTTCAAATAACTAAAATATTATAAGAAAAATTATAGGTTTACTTACCCATAGTAGCTAAACGTGGTCGTTTGATCTGTGCTAATTCAGTGTGCTAACGAATAGTAGGTTAGCTTTGGTGGGTTTAGTTTTAACTTGGAGGTTAGTGAGAAGGAAAAACATTAAGGATACAGAGAAGGTGTCCGAAAGAGGAGAGAGTTTTGATACAATTTGGATTGGGAAAAGTAGAATGTCTTCTACTTTAATGGTGAGAATACGACCAGCTCTTGAAAATAGTCACCTCTTCCTTGGTTCTTTTTCTTCTTAATTGTTAGGACGTTTTCTTCATTGTGTGGAATGTGTAATGAGAGAAAGAACGTTAAAACAAACGATATAATCGGTAGAATTTTTTACTCTTGAAGTGTAAAGTTGTCGAAACGATTCTTTTATTAACTTCTCTGGGTCGTATTAAAAGAGAAATAAATACTACTGTTGATGATCTCATGGATAAACATCGAGACCAAAGATTAAGAGTTATTGGGCTCTCGATCATGGCTACAACAAGCTTGGGTACCATATTTAAGAATGGTAGGATATCAAATCAAAGCGAAGCCCTTATAATGAACTTAATATTGTACGAGCCAATTTGCAACATATGAATGATTAAAATGCTAACTTTTTTTATTGATCACATTGGGTCAAAATTTTAGAGAAAGGTAAAAAAATGTATTTGATTTTGAATTTTTTTTTTCAAAAGCTTTGAAAATTTTAATGTGATAGTGAATATAAGTAAAAATGTTGATTAGTTTAATGTGTTAGGTTTTAATTAAAATGCAATCACATACAATCGTGGTGCGACCTATCTTTTCATAAGACATCATGACTTTATTCTCTACTTCAAGTTCGAGTAAAGTTTGATGTGTAGTACTTCTCTATTCACACCACATATACATACATGGACCCACTAAGTGAGCTCATATACATACCACTGGGTCTGACTGTAGGTTAGTGTACACCCACATTGTCGGAAGCCACAAAGGGAAATGAGCATGCATAATATCATCGTGTACAAAATAAGGAAGTGTACACATGTGTACTAATCATAACAACTAAGTATCTCGATACATGTGACATGCAAAATGCATGAGGTCTCACAGTTTCGAATTATGATATATAATTATGATGCAAATCATACATCCATTCTTTTTATGACATAGTGTTCCTATGAGACATGCATACGTATACGAAACATATCTTTTATGGTTAATCTACATGGCTTGTCAATGTCTCATAGGCATAGTGTGAACATGTTAACATAATATGCATGGTGTAATATATAGAGGTTTATGCATTATATATCATCCATATCATAACGTAGATTCACAGCAAAGTATAATTCACATCATAATATAAAGTGTCACATAGAACAACACATATTAACAAGGGCTACAAGACACTTGTCATTCATACAACATAAAAGTAATCCAACATGGCCCATAAGCATCAATAGTTCTAATTTTGTGTTCAAGATGTGTGACTAAACTGAAACTATCAAACTAAAACTTACATTATGTAATAACTTCAACTAAAACTTACATTCCATTATGTAATAACATATGTGCAAAATATGATATTATCAACTTACAAACTAATTAATTTAGTGGTTCTAAGATTCTAACAAACTCGTAGCATTCCACATTCCTAGATGTCCAAAGTTCATGTTTATCTTCTCTTATTAATTCTCTTTTTCTATTCAAGGTACATATGTGCAAAATATGTTATTATC